TGGTCTCAGTCCTAGTCTCAGTCCTGGTCTCAGTCCTGGTCTCAGTCCTGGTCTCAGTCTTGGTCGCAGTTCTGGTCTGGTCTCGATCTCAGTCCCGATTTCAGTCCTGGTCCCTGTCTGGTCCCAGTCTCAGTCCTGGTCTCTGTCTGGTCCCAGTCCCAGTCTGGACCTGGTCTCAGTCCTGATAACCCAACAGTCTACGCGGGTGCACCTCCAGGCCCGTCTCGACACTTAGTCCTGTTTTAGTCCTAGTTCAGTTCTGTTTTAGTCCTGGTTCAGTTCTGGTTCAGTTCTGTTTTAGTCCTGGTTCAGTCTTGGTTCAGTCCGTTATCAGTTTTTTCCATTTTTCATTTAAACACAAAATCCAAAACTGAAAAAACAAATCATTATCTGTTTTTTTCATTTTGTTTTTGGAGACAAATAATGAAGAAAATAGTTGTTTTTTTCATTTTCTTATTTTTAGTTTTATTTTGAAAAACAAATGAACGAATGACACACGGATTAGTCTGATACGCTATGATTTTTTATTTTTTATTTACTGTACATACATTTATATAATTTACGTTTTACTGACACCAGTCTCTTGCTATTTTTTATTGCTACTTATTTAGAAGTTTATTATCATTTTCATATACACTACCTGTCAAAACTTTTAGAATTTTTGGGGAAATGGTGCAAGATTAAACAAAGAATAATAATACAAACTTTGATCAAATAATATAAAAAATAAGTGATTGCACTAAAACAAGATAAAAATGGACTTACTGGTGTGACAGGTATTAAAGGCCCACATTAGGCTATTTCCTGATCTATAATGTTGTGTTTTGCAATGTTGTGTTCAATCTCTACACGCTGCCATTAGGCCAGTTAATAAGCAACAATAATGTGTCCTACGCAGACGACACTCAGATCTACGTCTCTCTGGCAGCAGGAGACTATGGACCAGTGGACTCACTTGGTCACTGCATCCAACAGATCAGTGTGTGGATGCAAAACAACTTTCTCCAGCTAAACTCTGACAAGACTGAAGTCATAGTGTTTGGTCCACAGAAACAAAGGGACAGTGTCAGCAGTCACCTCCAGTCTCTCGCTCTAAAACCTTCAAATCAGGCAAGAAATCTAGGGGTAATAATGGACTCAGACTTGAACTTTAACAGCCACATAAAATCAATAACATCTGCAGCCTTTTACCATCTAAAAAACATAGCAAAAATCAAAGGTTTACTGTCTAAATCAGACTTGGAGAAACTTATCCATGCGTTTGTCTCCAGTAGGTTAGATACTGTAATGTTCTGCTCACTGGTCTCTCCAAACGAGCTGTGAGACGCTGCAGAACATCCAGAACATCCAGAACATCCAGAACATCCAGAACATCCAGAACATCCAGAACGCTGCAGCTCGGGTCCTGACTCGAACTAGGAAGTACGAGCACATAAGTCCTGGTCTCAGGTCTCTGCACTGGCTCCTGTGGCTCAGAGACTTTAAAGCAGCTCTGCTTGTACAAGTGTCTCCATGGCCGAGCACCAAAGTCCATCTGTGACATGTTAGTGTCATATGAACATCTCACACTCTGAGGAGCTCAGGGACCAACTCCTGCTGGTGCCCAGAGTCACGACTAAACAAGGGGAGTCAGAGTTTCAGGTTCATGCAGCTAAAACCTGGAACAGTCTGAACATGTGAGACAGACTCTTCTGTGACGCTGTTTAAATCCAGACTCAAAACATTTCTGTTTAACTGTGCAAATAACTGAAAGGTTTTCATTCCGCACTCTTCTCTCCAATTTATGTCTCTCTTTTTTAATTTTAATCTTCATGATTATTTATGTTTTGATTTGTTTTTATTATGATTTTAATGTATTTCTTATTCTGTAAAGCACTTTGAATTACTTTGTGTACGAATTGTGCTGTACAAATAAACTTGCCTTGCCTTGTTTTGTTTCATTCACACAAGTTTAACACACAAACCTGCACATTTAACAAAAAAACACTCTGTCCCACCTTGTGATGTCACGTGGTAACACAAGAAAGTGCTCCATTGTGATTTTAATCTCCATGAATCGCAGAATCATTTGGATAATTTTAGCTCGGGAATTTCCAAACTCTACTGACCCAAAGGTAAAAACAAAACAAAACAAAACAAAACAAAAAAAGTAGCTTTTATCTTGAAAACTGCCGCTACGTGACATCACAAGGTGGAACAGAGCGTTTTGAGGTTTGGAGACGTAGACAAACTAATAATAAACACGTGTGAATGAAACAAAGTATGAGTTTTGATGAGGAAAAATTGTTCTTGAGAGTAAATTTTGCAGAAAGTAGAAGTTGTAGTGAGTCATGGAAGTTATTTATTCGACCTTCTTCAGCTGAAATCTAACCGTGTCGTACAGAAAAAGTAAAAGAACAAAAAGCTCCAACCAGAAACGTCAAATACTTACTGCATTTTTTACTGACTTTAACCAGCTTTTAACTTAGAGGAGAACCCACAACCTCCACACTGAGAGGAGGAAATGGACTAACCAGAATAACTCCGGTCACTGTGCAATAAAACAACAAAAAAAAGCACATTTGGACAAAGTTAACAGTACCCCAGTTTGGTCAGCAGAGGGCGCCAAACACTAAAATATCAATTACTCACTGCACACTAACGTTGTAGTTAAGACCGCACTAAAAGAGACCAAGACCAACCCGAGACCACAGGACAAGACCGAGACCTCTTAGGGTCGAGACCGAGACAAGACCGAGACCACGAACCATCGAGAACAAATCAACACCATCTTTGTCATTTTCAACATTTACTTGAATTTTAGTTATTCTGGCACCAATATATCAGTGTGTTTATAAATCTATCTCCATTTTATCTTATTTATGTTAATTTAAGATTAAAATAAGCCAAACAAACTGTACTGCACTAAAACAATCTGCTACTTTTTGGGACCCTCACCCACAGTTTGAGAACCTCTTCTTTAAGAGAACTTCCACCAGCACGTTACACAAAACTGTGAAGAAAGTGAAGAAAGTGTGTAGGATTTTTAAACCTGTTTTTTTCAAGTTTCTAAATGGAGTTACATTTTCTTACAGGTTTTGCGGTGGGATTTAGTCTCTGCACATTTACCAAACACACGTCGTGACAAATACAGATGCATTTGTGAACTTTTATTAGGCAAAATTCAGCCACATGTCGCGGTAAGAAGTTTATTGCCGACAGCAACGAGAGTCCGAGACAAGACCGAGTCCAAGTGCCTTGAAGTCCGAGACAAGACCGAGTCCAAACGCTTTCAAGATCGAGACAAGACTGAGTCCAAACGCTTTCAAGATCGAGACAAGACCGAGTCCAAGTGCCTTCAAGACTGAGAAAAGACCAAGTCTAAAAGCTTTCAAGACTGAGACAAAACCAAGTTCAAATGCCTTCAAGACCGAGACAAGACAGTGTTCAAATGCCTTCAAGACCGAGACAAGACCGAGTTCAAACACCTTCAAGATCGAGATAAGACCAAGTTGAAACGCCTTCAAGACCAAGACAAGACCAATTTCAAACGCCTTCAAGATCGAGACAAGACCAAGTCCAGACGTGGTTGAGTCCGAGACGAGACGAAGACTGTAAAAAAACGGTCTTGAGGACAGTCTTGAGACCAAGACCGGTCTCGAGTACTACGACACTACTGCATAGTATTATTTTAGGAGCCGTGGTAAGAACTATTGTAGACCTACCAAACCCAATTTAATTTAAACTAAAACACTGTTAGATTTATTAGTTGTTTATAAGTGTAGTTTTAAATAAACTTTTGTTATGTTATAAGATTGTTCCCTCATCAAAAACATGCCTGAAGAGGTTTCAGACGTCATCCATGCATGTTTTAGTAATCTAGCGATCTCTCCGGGACCCTTGTGGTAAGAAGTGTCAAAACAGAATACAACACAATGTACTACGACTTCACAAACCTGAGCTGATTGTGTTGTGATAGAGTTCTGAAAACTAATTCCATAACCTGCTGATCTAAGACTTCTCGACCCTCAGAAATCTTGGTCTTGTCTCAGTCTTGACCCTCAGAAGTCTTGGTCTTATCTACTGTATGTCTCAACCCTCAGAAGTCTTGGTCTTGTCTCAGTCTCGACCCTCAGAAATCTTGGTCTTGTCTCAGTCTTGACCCTCAGAAGTCTTGATCTTGTCTCAGTTTTGACTCTCAGAGGTCTCGGTTTTATCTTGGTCTCGACCCTCAGAAGTCTTGGTGTTGTCTCAAGACCTCTTTAAAGTAGCCTGCTCGGTCCTGGTTTGAACCCAACCAGTTTAATCCAGATGTATTTTTGTTTTGGTCCTGTTATAGTCTTCGTCCAGTCCAAACTTTGTTTGGGGTTTAATCAGAGCCGACACATTTTCATTTTCATAGAGCTGATACTGATTTGTCTGTTATTAAACATCTTGTATTTAAAAAAAAAAATCATGTTTTTATTGCGTATCTTGAACACATGCATTCTTACGGTGAATTATTTTTATTACTTACAAAGCCTACTTGAGTAAGCAATATTATTTTTGAAGTTTGCTGAATATTCACTTGTTGTTCACTGTTTATAAATTCCACGCACAGGAAACGTGGAGCGTCAGTGGGCGTGTCCTTCGGGGGAGTCATGGATGCATGCAGTCAAAAACGTATTATATTTTATTTTTTAATATTATTATATTGTTATATTTCATTAAATCATTATATATTGTTGTTACATTATTATTATCTTTTATTTTATTATTATATTTTAATTTTATTACAGTTCTACGGTTGTTGTACATAAGTGGGCGTGTCCTTCGAGGGGGTTGTTGTCATGGGTCTATAAAAAAAAAAAGTATTATATTTTATTTTTTAATATTATTATATTGTCATATTTCATTAAATCCTTATATATTATTGTTACATTATTATTATCTTTTATTTTATTATTATATATTTTATTTTTTTTTTATGGTTCTACGGTTGTTGTATGTCGGTGGGCGTGTCCTGAGTGGGCGTGCCTGCGTGCGTGCGTCGTGCGTGCCGTCGTCGGGCTGCTCCTGCTCTGCTGCTCCACACTGCGGCGGCGGCCACTGCTCTGCGCTACAGAAATGGCGGAGGGGGAGTTGGACGTGGACTCGCTCATTTCCAGGCTTCTAGAGGGTAAGATCGCGCTCGAATCCTCCGCGTTTTTCCACCGTTTTGCTCGGGGTTCCTCCGGTACGAAGCGCGCTCGGCACAGCTTTACGCGCGCACTGGCTTTCTTCTTCTTTTTTGGTCGGACCTCGCGTCAAGCCTCCGCCTAATTTTTTCTCTCTCTGTGCTTGTTCTCCATGTATGGCATTTTCCCCACTACCTGCTTTGGGAAAAAAATGTCTTAAATGTGTTTGTTTTGAATTGCTTTTCTCCCCTTGGCTCATAAACAGCGCGTAGTTACGGAATGGATAGGTTATGTTCGGTGCCAAAGTTGTGGACTCCTTGTACCCCATTTGGAGACGTCACCGACCCTCCTTTGTGTCACCAATCATTTTCACGCCACTATATTTCAACATTCCGCCGCTGTCACCTGTTAAAAATGCAGGTCATGTACATTGGCAAAGAAGAACTATCAACTTTAAAGATCTCTCATCGGATGTAGCGTCGTTACGAAATGTTACACGGCTTTAATAGCGTGTGTATTCGCTCCCAAACTTATTTTAGATGGTGTAAAGTTGGAATAAGTTGCTGTAGTCGGGGCACTGTTGGGAAGGTTACTTGTAAAATGTAGTTTGTAACATAATTCGTTAAATTACTTCAAGTGAGTAACGTAATCTGAGTATTTTGGATTACTTGATATTGTCATGCTTTTTAAAACGACATGAATGTAGCGACCACATCCTGGAAAGTCATGTTTGTTCAGTCTTTACTTGACCAGATTAAAAATATTATTGATAGAGAAATGATTTTTATACGAGATCACTGCTGCTTTAAATTATGTCCATCTACTGTTAGTGTCATATTGTGTTAGTTTAGTCCTGGTTTAGACCTGGTTTAATCCTGGTTTAGTCCTGGTTTTAGTCCTGGATTTATTCCTGCTTTAGTCCTGGTTTTTGTCCTGGTTTAGTCCTAGTTTAGACCTGGTTTAGACCTAGTTTAGACCTGGTTTAGACCTAGTTTAGACCTGGTTTAGACCTAGTTTATTCCTGGTTTTAGTTCTGGTTTATTCCTGGTTTATTCCTGGTTTAGTCCTGGTTTAGTCCTGGATTTAGTCCTGGATTTAGTCCTGGATTTAGTCATGCTTTAGTCCTGGTTTTAATCCTAGTTTAGTCCTAGTTTAGACCTGGTTTAGACCTGGTTTAGACCTAGTTTAGACCTAGTTTATTCCTGGTTTTAGTTCTGGTTTTAGACCTGGTTTTAGACCTGGTTTAGTCCTGGTTTAGTCCTGCATTTAGTCCTGGATTTAGTCCTGGATTTAGTCCTGCTTTAGTCCTACTTTAGTCCTGGTTTTAGTCCTAGTTTAGTCCTAGTTTAGACCTGGTTTAGACCTGGTTTAGACCTAGTTTAGACCTAGTTTATTCCTGGTTTTAGTTCTGGTTTTAGTTCTGGTTTTAGACCTGGTTTAGTCCTGGTTTAGTCCTGCATTTAATCCTGGATTTAGTCCTGGATTTAGTCCTGCTTTAGTCCTACTTTAGTCCTACTTTTAGTCCTAGTTTAGTCCTAGTTTAGACCTGGTTTAGACCTGGTTTAGACCTGGTTTAGCCCTGGTTTAGTGCTGGTTTTAGTTCTGGTTTAGTCCTGGTTTTAGTCCTAGTTTAGTCCTAGTTTACACCTGGTTTAGTCCTGGTTTTAATCCTGGTTTTAGTCCTAGTTTAGTCCTGGTTTAGTCCTGGTTTAGTCCAAAATGTGAAAACAGTAAAATCCCGCCGTGTAATCCATTTATTTCAACAAAGTAACTGTAATCCAATTCCCACTCACTGAAACAATAACTGTAACCGAATACAGTTACTCACAATTTGTACTCTGATTACGTAACTCCAGTACATGTAATCTGTTACTCCCCAACACTGGTAGTCGGGGTAGTGTACATGTACTGCGGTGAATACTGTGGTTCTGTGTGTTTGTTGTTGACACAGGCCCAGGGCTGTACTGGCAGGCGATTATTGGGCTCAGTTCGCGCTCTGTTTGCGTCTCAAAGTTTCGGGGTGTTTCTGGACTTTATTACACAGATATGATCGTGTACTGGCAAATATGGACAGAATGTACACACGTTTTACATCGGACGGAAGAGATTATCCAGATTATACATGATGATAAACATTTTCTAATTTCTTAAAGGTGCGTTCACATTTGTTGTTGTTGGGTCCTGGTTTCAGCCCAGATGTAGACCTGGTTTGGTTCTAGTTTAGTTTTTTTTGCATATAACAGGAAATGTGGGTTACTTTATTGTGTTGTATTAAAGTTTTATATGGAATTCTTGACTACAGTGCACTGTTTGGTAAACTTGATTCATCAGACTGTTTCACTTTGTGGAAACCGTCTGACCTCGCAGCGTTAGGATTCGTTCGCTCGACAGTAGGCGGGTACTTTTTTATTTAACCAATCGCTGCTGTTTGGTCGTGACGTATGTAATGCACCAAATCCCGTAGGAAGAAGGACAATAACGTCTTTCCCCTTGATAAAATTCACCAAACATTCTCTTTGTTCTGGCTTTAAATCCTCGATGTTGGGAATGGTTAACAGCACTGAATGTCTGGCTCTTTGCTGATTGGCTGGTGCCCGAATTTGCACTTCGGGGTTTTTGCAAATCCTCTAGTGCACAGGTGTCAAACATAAGGCCCGGCTGCCAGATCTGGCCCTCCAAGACCTTTAATGTGGCCCTTGAGTGATTTTCTACTAAAATATTGTAATTATATTTTCTTTTAAAATATTGTTAATTTTCTGTGGTGTTTGTCACAGCAGCGTCTCCAGCGTCTCTGTACGTGGCCCCTCCCACCAGAGCAGCACAAATGAAGACTTGTCTCTTTCCAGATGCTCTTAAAGGACGATCGTTTTGACTGTTGACCGTGACACCCTCATCAGAAAAATGTCCAACATGAGAAAAGTGGAGCCGAGTGCAGGATTTTACAACAAAAATTGCCTTATTCCTATTTACATACAAGTTAATGTTAAAATATTGTGTTGAAATTGAATTTTTCTTAAAGTTTCAGGTTGTTCATAATATTATAATATTATAATACTATAATAAGAAAGAGTTCATCAATTAAAAAAGATTTCTGTAATAGATTTGTGTTTCTCTGCACAAATATTTGAACTTATTGTTATTTTTGGGGTTTATATGACATCAGTTTTCTGATCCGGCCCCTTTGGGATCAAAGTAGGTTGGATACGGCCCCCGGACCAAAATGAGTTTGACACCCCTGGTCTAGTGTATTCTGATTCCTAGGTGCCAGAGTGGCTACTATTTGGTTTGACTTTGAGCTATAATTGCATTACAGATTGGCCGATATATTGTTTGGTCGATACATCGGGCTGATATTTGGACTTTTATCTAATGTATCGATTGGTTATTGGCCCTAAATCTCCAGTAGAAACTTTATTTTAACATTTTAATATGAAGAGATAATTGCACAAAATGTGACTACAGCTCTCTTAACGATGAGGGTGAAGGTTAAATTAGATAATTTGGGGAAAATGATCAGAATCTGCCTTGTATATCGACCTCAGCCGGTCTTCTGTTCTGTCAAATCTGTACAGAAAGTACAGTACACAGTCATTTCTAAAGGTGCATTCACATTTGTTGTTGTTGGGTCCTGGTTTCAGGACAGTTTAGTTCAGATGTAGATCTAGTTTGGTCTTGTTTTAGTCTAGTCTAAACCAGGACAAGTTCCGAATTTGGTTCTATTTTAGTTTTGCATGTAACTGCACATGTTTGTTTTTTCTTTAAAAAAACATTATTGTATAGTCGTGTAAAAGTTTTATATGTAGTTCTTGACAACTGTGGACTATTCTATTTGATTTTGAGCTACAATTTACATTACAGATCGGCCGATATATTGTTTGGTCGATACATCAGGCTGATATTTGGACTTTTGTCTAATGTGGCGATTGGCTTTTGGCCCTAAATCTCCAGCACAGGGCGACCTACTGCCTAAAAATTCACACAAAATTGTATTTTAAGTTAATAAGATAATTGCAGAAAATGTGACTGCAGCTCTCTTATGGATGAGAGTGGAGGTTAAACTGGATAATTTAGGGAAAATGTTCAGAATCTCCCTTGTGTATCTACCCAGAAATATTGGCAATCTGTCTAAACCAGGACTAGTTCCCAATTTAGTTCTAGTTTAGTTTTGCATAACATCATAAGTGAGTTACTTTATTTTTTCTTTTAAAAAGCATTGCTGTATAGAAGTTGTACAAAATCAGAATTGTATATCGACCCTTAAAATAGCAGTGATATAATCAGCCATGAACAGTTCCAGAATTGACACAAAATGATAAAAAAAAGTTGAATTTTGACTCCACACATTTTGAGTTGTGTTATTTTTAGTTTTTTTTGTACTGTGTTTAAAAAAATAGATGTGATGCCAAAATACAAACTTGATTTAACATGGGAATGGTTAATTTATTGTTAATGTTCTCTGTGCTTAACCAAGTACGCCATGATCTTTCACCTATTAACCAACTTTCTTTTACATTTCTGAACCTGCTTTCCACTCTCCTACAGACGGCCATCACCTTCCATCAATACGTAACCCGATAAACTCTTAACTCTACTCCGCTCCTGTGCATTATTTAGACCTGTGTTCAAACAGCCATGAAAAGAGGAGCACAATCAAGTGTTCAACGCACTTCCTAAATCAATCCCATCTCGTTTTTTTTAATCCGTTTGAACACTTTCTAAGAACATTGGCTTCTTGGCGCGTTGCCCGGCCGCTGTTTTGTGTCGGGCTGAGCGGCGTGGGTGACTTGCATTACTAAATATTGGCCCGAGTTAGGTAATCCCACGTCCCGTTCACCTGTCGCTCACTGTCCGAACAGCGCTGCCTTCAGTGTCCTCCGTAAACATCGGGACTGGCCGGCCGACAGCGGGCAAACATTCAGCTATTGATTTTGTGTTGGTCAGGCCGGGGAGTGGATGCACATGGATTTGTTTGGCCGGGATAATGAGACGGATCGACTGCGAG